AGCTATGGAGTGTTATGGATACCAGTGGAGTGTTATCGATAGCTATGGAGTGTTATGGATACCAGTGGAGTGTTATAGATAGCTATGGAGTGTTATGGGTACCAGTGGAGTGTTATCGATAGCTATGGAGTGTTGTGGATGCCAGTGGAGTGTTATAGATCGCTATGGAGTGTTGTAGATACCTATGGAGTGCTATGGATATGTACGGTTATATATAGTGTATATCTTTGCAATCCCTCTGCTTATATTATGATTGGGCTATTTCGGTTGCTCATATATCGAGAAAGGGCCCCTTTAGGAGATGTCAGCCTTCGATTTTCGTGTAATTTTGTAGACCGAACAAGAAGCAAAAACCGGTGTGCCGTCAAGTTGCTGTTGTTTATTCACGATTTATTCAAATCCTCTTATTTTTCCCACAGCGAACGTGAATTGTGTCTTAACTTGCTGATCTAGTTGAAACTTGGAAACAGTCAGGCGTTTTGACTCAGCGCGACTCTAAAATTTACTGAAATTTACCTTCGAATTTGCTTGAAAATAGCTCTGCACGGATGAAATGAGTTTCGGCGTCTAGCGAAGCCGTAAAAAATAATTTTCAAAAACTAAATTTATTTTGGACACTTGTATACCAATGCCTTTCAACACACAAAAATTGAAGGAAATCTATTTTCCAAAGTAGTAGTCACCGGACCGCTCTTAGCGGGACTGCCACTTAAAACCGCAGATAAACTCATAAAAGCACATTGCTTGCCTCTAGATTGAACACTAAAAAGGTCATCGCCTTGATGTATTTCAGAAGAAAGAAATAGAGCCATACTTACCTGAATTTTTCAGAAAATTTTCGATCCCTTGCATCCGTATTGAAAGCTTGAAAAATCTTGAGCAGTGAGCACATGGAGATGCGTGCGCAATACAAAATCTTGTTTTGACCGCACCCCTCATTCAACAAACGTTTCCTGAAAGCTTAATTATCCCCCCCCGGATTACAACAAACATCCGACAGACAGACAGACAGACAGACAGACAGACAGACAGACAGACAGACAGACAGACAGACAGACAGACAGACAGACACAACTGAGATCGAGATCTCGACAATACATAGATCGCGCGAAAGACTGTGTCGAGTGGACTCTGGAGAAACCACCACGTGTCAATAATACAAATTATCCGAATATCAGTTTAATGAAATTTCAGAAATAAAACTGTTTTCGGCCTGTTCACTAATAGTGTTGCAGTGTTTCTTGTACGCACACACAGCAAAAAATCGTTTTCTTATTTCAAGAAAAAAAAAACTTGTTTCAAGAAATATTTTCTTAAAACAAGAATTTTTAAATTACTAGGGAGAATAGCGAGAAATATTTTCTAACTGAGAAAATATTTCTTAAAATATTTCTTAAAATAAGAAAACACATTTTCTTGTTTTAAGAAAAATATATCTCATTTCAAGAAAATAATGAAACATTTTTCTAGTGCACTTTTTCTTAAAATAAGAAATTTTTTTAGAACTAGAAAATTTTTCTTAAATTAAGAAAACTTTTCTTAAATAATATGAAATTAAATCTTAAATTAAGAAAATATAACTTGTTTTAAGAAAATATTTCTCAAAACAAGAAAATTTTTACTAGGGAGAATAGCGAGAAAAAAATTCTAATTAAGAAAATATTTCTAGATGAAT